CATGATAGAAATATATATATATATATATATATATATATATATATATATATATAATTATAAAATATTATAATATTACATAAATTAATACTAAGATTATAAAATATTTAAAAGCTATGAAAAAGTCCTGGTATAATGCGAAATGTACTGTCTCAGAAAAAAAAGGTACAAAAGCTGTCACTGGGGCAGTACCTTTTCAAAAGGTACACTATTGTAGAGTCAATATTGGTACATTAAAGGTACATATTACCTATATTAAAGGTATAAAAGTCTACCTTTTGAAGAGGTACCGCCCCAGTGACAGCTTTTTTCTGCGAGTGTATGAAGGCTGTATGTGTGTCTGTGAGACAGAAATGAAGAGTAAATTGCTGCTGAGGGCTCTGGGTCTGTGCTGGACTACTGTGCACAATGAAGCCAGGTCAGATTCAACCAGAACCTCCACTAACCCGACCCGTCACCCCTGCTATTCTCCTCTCCACAGGTGACTCAAACCAATTACGGATTCATTAAGGAAGAGCGGGAGCAGAATGGGCCGCCACCTGGCCCCATAGAGAGGGCACCTGTGCCTGTGGATATGTGGGTTAGAGCTCCAAAGACCACACAGAAGACCTCCAAAGCACCAGTGTTCCACTCCAGCCGCTCGCGCTCGGCCCGTCATTGAGACTCTGCTGCGCACTGGAGGGGAGGTTACTGCTCATACCGGCCGGCCAGGCCCCTGACTGGACGCTCGCTGCCCATGTGAAATGCGAGCAGACAGGCCTGCGGGTGAAGGGTACGATGCCAGTTTTGTGACAGGAGAAGAGAGACTCAACAGAAATCAAATGCAAAATCCTGCATATTTAAATCATCATTGCTTGACTCAAAGGACTTTTTTTTTGTACAGAAGTGAATCAAAGTGTGGCATGTGAAGAAGAGTCAATGGCTGCAGTTGAATACTGCATACTGTAAGTATACATGAGCAAAAAAGTGTCAAGAACTGATCTGAGTCATATTTATTTCAAAAATTTAAAAAAGCATATTGCAATGCAAAAAAAAAAATGTATACATACATTTAAATAAAATAAATTTATCTAAAAAGGTAAAAACAAAACAATCAAAACTAAAAAAAAATATTTTGCTAAAAGAAGATGAAGCATATTTAAACATGATTTAAATTTTAAAAAGGTTGATTAATTTATTAATTTCATCACTTTTTTTGTATTAATTAATGAAAATAATTTTAATGGTCCTAAAAATAGGCTTAATTTTCATGCAGAATATAATTTATTTTTATAAATTAGAATGAAAGAATTAGAATGAAATTAGAATGAAAAATAAAAAACATGCTGTAATTCTGCAAAATATTGATTTTTTTTTTTATGAAATATGGAATATATATTATATTATCATTCAATATTCAATAATTT